CAAATGGCAATAATTAATGGATCTTGAGGCGGGAAGGCAGAGTGCCAGCAGCTGGGAAGGCAGAGTGCCAGACGTTGTCGCGTCACCCAGCTGTACCCTGCTTCGCCTGCACGTGATTCGCTTGACAGTGTGGTCAACGCAGAAAAGCGCAACATCCAGCAGTTCGTAGCCACTTCACGCGATTTGTGCATCCCTAATACTATCAAACCCTAAAACTATGGCACTCTGCCTTCTAGCCCCAAACCCTAAATACTAAAGACCCTGAAACTCTAACCCTAACCCTTTCATTACCCTCAAACCCTAACACTATGGCACTCTGCCTTCTAACCCCAAACCCTAAATATACTAAAGACCCTGAAACTCTAACCCTAACCCTTTCATTACCCTCAAACCCCTAATACTATGGCACTCTGCCTTCTAACCCCAAACCCTAAATACTAAAGACCCTGAAACTCTAACCCTAACCCTTTCATTACCCTCAAACCCCTAATACTATGGCACTCTGCCTTCTAACCCCAAACCCTAAATACTAAAGACCCTGAAACTCTAACCCTAACCCTTTCATTACCCTCAAACCCCTAATACTATGGCACTCTGCCTTCTAACCCCAAACCCTAAATATACTAAAGACCCTGAAACTCTAACCCTAACCCTTTCATTACCCTCAAACCCCTAATACTATGGCACTCTGCCTTCTAACCCCAAACCCTAAATACTAAAGACCCTGAAACTCTAACCCTAACCCTTTCATTACCCTCAAACCCCTAATACTATGGCACTCTGCCTTCTAACCCCAAACCCTAAATATAATAAAGACCCTGAAACTCTAACCCTAACCCTTTCATTACCCTCAAACCCCTAATACTATGGCACTCTGCCTTCTAACCCCAAACCCTAAATATAATAAAGACCCTGAAACTCTAACCCTAACCCTTTCATTACCCTCAAACCCTAATACTATGGCACTCTGCCTTCTAACCCCAAACCCTAAATATAATAAAGACCTGAAACTCTAACCCTAACCCTTTCATTACCCTCAAAACCCTAATACTATGGCACTCTGCCTTCTAACCCCAAACCCTAAAGACCCTGAAACTGTAAACCCTGTGCCAGGTCTTCTTCATCCTCGTCTTCTCGGAAAAAACATTAAAAATGTAGTTTTTTTTGTGTGTTTTAAAGTTTTTAAAAAATTTTAAAAGTTGTTTAAAGTCTTTAAAAGTCTTTCAAATTCTTTTTAAAGTTTGTAAAAGCTTTTAAAAGCGTTTAAAAGTCTTTTAAAGTCTTTTTAAAGCTTTTAAATGTATTTTAATGTTTTTAAAAGTCTTTTAAATATTTTAAAAGCCTTTTAAAGTTTTGAAAAGTCTTTTAAAGTTTGCAAAAGTCTTCTAAAAGTTTCTAAAAGTCTTTTAAAGTCTTCTAAAAGTTTTTAGAATGTTTTTTCTTGCATTTGAAAGTTTTTAAAAGTCTGTAAACGTCTTTAGAAGCCAACTCTGTCGAAAAAGCCCTGTGGATCTAAACCTTGTGGTTCTGGTTCGGTGCAAAAGGGCAATGACAGCTTTCTTCCCAGCAACCTGATTGGCGGCGAATTGTAGGCGGCCCCTCAGCTTCTCGCAGTCTTTCCTAGCCAGCGTCCCTTTTTCGATGACAGAAGAAAGACTCTCCCTCAGCTCCTCGCGCCGAGCCGTCGTGTTTCTCATGTAGAAGTTGCCGAGGTAGGATTCACGCAAGTCAAACTCCAGGCCTAAGACTTTTGCCACGCTTCCGAAGATGGTAGGCTTGTCTGGAGACGTGTCCCAGCCAAGGATCTGAAAGAGCGATTCAGCGCAAAGGTCAAAGAGCCGTGTAAGTGGCGGGACTTCATTGCCGACAAAGTCGTCGTAATATACCGACCACATCAAAGCCAGCTGAATCGCCCCAATCGTCCAGATGCCAAGCGAAGTTCTGCAGAACGAGTGGACCGACGCACGAGCGCCGAAGGGCAACACGCACTGCTCGTAGATCTCTGCCTTCCCTGACCGGGGGTTGTACACTGAGAGATAAGCTTCTTCCACCGCCGAAGTGCTCAAGGGAAGATTCTTATACGCCTTGTGTAGGTCATAAGATTTCATCTCAAGCCCGCCGTGTCGTCGGCACTTTGGGTCGCGCTTAAGACGGTAAGCAATGGAAGCGGCGATTGCATCCGCCGTGTGCACAGTCACCGAGTCTTCGGCTGAAGTCGTCGAGTTAACCCCAGAGGCCTTGAAGTCATCTATAGGTCTACACTTGCCGCCCTGCCAAACGCCGAAGCGGCGCGAGAGAACAGCATTGGGACCTAGCGACGCAGGATCGATAGGTCCTCGCAACCACCCCTTGGCGACCTCCTTGTCAGTGGCCGCCATGAGGGCCTCATCAAGCTCTGCGTCCCCGGAACTTTTGGTGGCGAGAAGAGTTGCTTCTCTCATCACAGCCGCGGAGCTCCGGAGGTCTGAGACAGATAACGAAGCGGGTGACAACTTGGGGCGGTATGCTGGATTCCTCGGGATCGCACCACTGAGGTCAAAACCCTTGGCGATGTCATTCGCTATCTCTAGGTCTTCGTGGCCACACTCCTCGAGCATGGTCCTAAAAAGGGCCAGCCGCTTCCGACCCAGGACACGTTTGCAATGTTGAGGCATCGAGTCACGCAGCTCCTCTTCCTCGGCTTCCAACTCACGGGCCTTGCTGATCCAATGCCGGAGCCTCTCGGTGCGTTGGGCTCCTATCTCGTGGAGCGACATGTCAGCAAGGCGGTCGATGGCCGTCTTGGAATGCGATGGCACACCGTCCATGAGGTGACGGGGGTGCCCAGCTTTCAGTGCTTGCTCGATGAACTCCTGAGGTTTCCAAGGGATGCCCACGGCCACCTTGTGCATTCGGTCACCTTCTGGCATGCTGCGGGACGGAATCCCAGGTGGTGGCCTAGTCGAGGAGCTGGGGCCTAAACTAGACTTACGGGTGGCTGCCACGGGACCGGCTGTTGGGCAGCACTTTGGGGAGCACCCAGGGAGGCTGAAACCAAGGTCAACAAGTCGTGTCTTCTGATCGTCAAGAAGTTTGTGGTGATCACGTATCGTATAGGCAACAAGCGTGATCCTTGGGCCCCCACACCATGGAGCTTGACAATGTCTACCACTCGGATCAAAGATTATCCTTCGGCCCTCAAAGTCAAGAACATTTCCCAAAAGCTCGGGGTGGCCAGGATCAGGACAAGCGACGGAGCCGCGTGGTGATTCGATCCACACTCCCCCTTGCTCGAAGGAGGAAATCTTCAAAACTCCATTCGGCAGTCCTGGCTCATTGTTTCTATCGGCATGCACCTTGCCTGCGAGGTTCTTGCCCAGCATCAAGGAGGTGAAAGGGTGGCCCGGGGCAACCCGGCGTACATACTCGCACAAGAGTTTGCTCACACTGGGGTGCGATGATGTATTGGAACGCAGGCCCACCTTGTTGGCATGAAAGAAAGCTCCGCACGACCAAGAGAATTCGTCAGTGCCTCGTCCGCCCCTAGACGGTGGATCCGAGACAAGTAAATCACACAAGTGGCAAATGCAGTCACGCCATGCTTCGTCGCTGGCTGACACTCCCAAGTGGAGAGCATAATGCGAGAAAGCTTCGGGGTCCATCTGGTCGTCCTCCATGGTGGCTAAGTTTCCATCGTCCTCCGCCTCGGCATTCGGGACAACTGTGGGATTCGGCACAGGTGTGGACAAGGCGGCTGAATCACTCGAGCACGATCTCTGCGCTCCAGCTGGCACAACCCCAATGACACTCTGGCGCAAGATCCGAGTGCCCGCGGGAAGCGTCGGCAGTGGGGGCGAGCATGAGACACAAGGTGGAAGGGGGGTATCGGCTTCCAGCTTATGCACGCCGGGAAAGAGGGGTTCGGGACTAAAAAGAACCACAATCTGCCGAAACTCGGGCACTAGGGGTGGCACACGCTTGCCGCGAGGTTGCACACCAGCTGCAACCTGAGACTCACGCAGGGGAAGGGCAGCACCAGGCGCAAGGCATGAAGCGGGTGCAGTGTGGCCACGTTCGGCGGCAGCACGGACAATGATGTCGGCCATACGTTGGCAGAGCACACGAGGGTAGACCTTCTCGGCCGCTGTGTCGAAGGCACCTGAGGATCGCGACCAGGGCAAGTGGCGATGAGATGTTGATTCCCCCGGGCAGAGAAGGGACAGCTCGTGTAGCAAAGGAACATTATGGGCTAGGCGGGTGAGCTTGGCACGCTCGCCGCCGTGTTGGCAGTTATGAAAAAGGGTTTCCTCAAACTGCAGGTCGGCAACGGCAGTGAGCCACATGGTCGTTTGCCAGAAGTAAGAGCGGCCTGGATTCTCACAAGAAACGAGCTTCCCAGTACGAATGCAGTGTGCAAAGATCTTGCCAGTGACGGCATAAAGATCGTTGGCCTTAGCAACGCGAACGCGGAGCTCGCCAGTGAGGTCTGGCAGCCCATCCGGGTGGGCGTCACTTCTTGCGGGAGCAGGTAGGCTTTCACCGCGACGGAAAATTTCACGAGCACGACTCGCTGTTCCACAAGGGGGAGCGATGTGGACATAAAGGCAAAAGGGAGAATCGATCAGATCAAGAACCATCTTTACATGTTCGGGATCCAGGAGGTCCAGCTTAAGGACGGGAGAAATCATTTGCTTTGGGGCAACATGGTCGATCCCGATGCTATCTCGGAACCCCGCACGCCGAAGTTCAGCAGTAAGCCTGCCTGAGCCTGAGAAAATTTCAATGCAAAAGAGGGAATCAAGCTTGAAAGCATCAGCGCCGCAAAGAGAGTGTCCGGCATCAAGTAGCGGCCCCTCCACAGGGCTCACAGCCTCAGCAGGACTCGAAGGAAAACAATGTGATTTGCTGGGTGCAGCGGCTGATGCTTGCGGGGTTGAGGCGCTCAGTGAAGCATCCAATGAAACACTGGGCGATGGAAAACACGATGGTGGCACGCTGTCGGGCTCAGGCAGGCATGCACTTCATGGCTTCTTTGGACACGCATGCGCAGGGTGGTGACCGCCACAACGCATGCAGTTGTGCAGGCCCCTGGGGCAGGATTGGCCGACCTTGGCATTAGCGCACCCACTAGCCATATTGAATCCCCAGCAGCGGCGCTTTCCGGTCTTCGTCCAAGACGAAAGGCCCTTGAGTTCTTCTGGGAGATTGCTGGGCTCACGCAATGTCTTGGTCTTGCCTTTTCCAGTACCTTTGCGCTGCTTTTTGGTCGGGGTGTCTGTGAGGTCAGGCTTGATCTCGTTGTTTTCTCGTTTGAGGGCTCCACCTTCCCGCGGGAGGAGATGAAAAATTACTTTCGGGTCAGTCTGCAAGCGGGCCCACAAACTGTCAAGAGGCAAAGCCCCGGCTGCATCTCGACGAATCCCGTCGGGGGTGAGCTCTGCCAGGCGCATCCAGGCAGCACGGTCCGCATGCAGAATTTGTTGTACAGAGGTGGCACGGCTACCAGCAATGGGCTCCTGATGAAGGTGGCCCAAGAGGAAATCCACGAAGCCCTGAACCCGAAAGTAATCAGTTACACCGATCAAGTCAAGAGCAAGGCTTCGACGGTGCATGGCATGGTGAAGGCTCCGTGCAGTGGAAGTATCGCATGACTGATCGGGGTCACGATCTCTCACGACCAGTGTTGAAGCTTGCACATCCAACTCCTTCCGCGGTTTCTCGGAACGCAGCTCAGCTTCGCGAGTGATGAACTTGGCCGGGGAAAGATAGCTGATGCAATTGTCAGTAAGGAGCTTCATGCAGAGGTCATACGAGGCATAGCTGCACTCAGTCTGGCCGGACATGGTGATGCCTGTGAGTTTGCGGGCCTGTGCTCGGATGCGCTCGCGGCGCTCTGCAGGGGCTAACTCCTTGACCTCGTTCTCCTTGTTCTCCACGAGTGCCTTGGTCTGAGAGGGTCTGTGCTTCGAACACCAGGTGTCGAACAGCTGCGATGGATCCCAACGACGGGGCTGCACCACCCACCTTGATGAGGGCCGCCAGCGACTCCTCGGTCGGCGTCTCCCCAGGCTGGCAAGGGGCGAACGCTAGTTTCGCCATCGTGTCGATGGTCTGTGCAACAAGGCGATCCACTGCTTCCTGTGGGAGGCCCACACGTTTGGCTCGCTCCAGGAAGACGGCCTTAGACTCTACAAGGGTTTGCGCCATGGTCTCCGATCCTATGTGCCCTCACAGAAACTGGTCTTGAGACATGCACATGCAAAAAGGATCAATCATGCACACAGCGATTGCAAGCTTTGCATGTGGACAACGCACTGCTGGTCATCATCGCATCGCCGAGCTTGGTCCGCCCGTCCGGACCCCGTGGCAGCCACGACGTAAACCAAGGGTTCCACTGAAACCCTTGTTCGCCCAACGAGTCTCCGAACCACGCTCTGGATCGATGCGCAATTGACCACTCGACCATCAGACATGACTGTGAAGCTCAGCGAAACACTGAAGTGGTGATCCGCAAGCATCGCTCGTCACACGACATTTCTCACTTAGAAGCGCCCTGCTTCTTAGCGATGAAACTCGCCATGGCCCCTGCGTCGCGGAGGGGTCGGCCTGCTGTGCATTGCTTGCACAACCATCTACTGCTGAAGACCTTCCCACTGAAAGGCTTCATATTGTCAAGCGACCTTCCACAGATCAACTTGCCAGTGGAACCCTTCGCTCGTGAGTGAAGGCTCTTGGTCTTCGGGTTCTGAAAAATGTCTCAATCAGGACCCATGTTCACAGACGGGATCGCATTCTGCGCCTCGCCTGCTCCAAAACTTTCATAATGAGTCTCTTCCTCGGACTCACCAGAACTCTCGGACTCGCTGCTCGAGGCCTCGTGAACGTCTTCTTGTTCACCCAAGTCCTGATCATCAAGAGGCTCTACGCCTCCATCCTCGGCCAGCTCAACCTCGGGAGCACACTCGAAGCTCTCGTGAGATGGCGAAGGATTGGCCCGACCCATGGGTGCCAAAGAGAAGCGTGACCCACGGATGGTCGCACCATCTGCAATCATCCCGCTCTTTGTGCGATCCGGGTGGAACACCCCCTGCCGGATGGCACCAAGACATTCTGCAAGGTCTCGTAGCGGCTGCGCCTGCACTTCGCGAGCGTAAGCTTCTTGCGTTTTCCCACTTGGACCTAAGCTATGGTGTCCCAGGACAAGTTGTGTCCTCTCACCGTATCCAGCTTTCGATGTCCAGGAAAGCGGCGTTGCCTTCAATCCATGCGAGGAGAATGTAAGATCTTCTTCGGCCGCTTGCAGCCGAGAGAGCAACGCCCTGATCCATGTAGTGGTCTCGTTGGCATCGATGGCGTCCCCGCTCCAAGAGTAATCGCAAGCCAGGCGGGGGAGCATCGGCCCGCGATGCCCTTTCTCGAAGTCGAAGCCAACGGCCTTCGCTGCCTCTACCCAAGCGGCATGCCAGGGCTTCTGGTGAAGCCCATGATACGGCGCAACCAAAATGAGCACGGCCCCCGGTCCACTGCTCAGCCGGCAATTCTTGTGCTCATAGGTTCTGACTTCGATGAAACCCGTATCGCCATCAAGGTCAAGCTCAAGCTTCGAAATGTTCCTCAGATCCGACACTCGAGCCCTGGAGTAAAGCTGGAACAAGAAGACTCCAGTGGCGTACCTGTCCACCTTGTCAAGGGCGCCGTCTATCAGCGCTCCTTCGAGGAGAAGCACCTCCTCGACCTTCAGGACTCTCGATCGTTTCGGGTCACAGGTGCGAATGTTGGCTCCTCGCAGCGCTCCCTTGACCCAAGGGTTGTCGCCGATTCCTTGTTCGATCTCAATTCCTAGAACATGTTCAAGGAAATTCACAGTCTCCATAGCCTCACGAATGGCACTGTTCCTGGCTTCGGCAGCAAGTGGTTTGAGGAAGCTCACAAGAAATTCGAGGCTCATCGGGAAAGCTTTCATATGATGCTTGTCGGCCCAGCAGACGAATCGTGCAGAAAAACGGGCTCGCTTGAGCAGAGTCGATGTAGCTTTCCCTGCCAAGGCCTGCGCCACGACACCCAAGGGGTCGGACTCGCCTTGCGCCCATATGAGAACCCCCAACCTCGAGGCGCCAGGTGAGTGGCTCAGAACACAGAGCCACCGACGTAGGACATTTTCTCGATCGACTCCGGCCTTCTCACCTGCCTGTAGCCTGGGCTTCTTAAGCGCAATCTCAAAGACGGGCACGACCTTGGCACACGGCAGAGCCGTCGGCAGCGGCTCGACTGAATCACCTGGCCGCCTGTACTGCGTGGCCGGCCCAGGGATAGCTGATTGGGGCCACAACATCATAAGTCAAGTGCTGGAGGTGCCGCTCGAAACGATCACAGAGATCGGAGGCCGAAGCTTCAGCAGCCATCGAAGAAACCCCACGAGCCAAGGCCCTGAAGCGAGGCCGTTCTCACGGCAGGGGCTGCAGACCAGCCCTAATTGCAATGAAGAGGATTTCCTGCAAGAAATCGTTGCGTGTGGCAGAACTCGAAGTCAGGAGAGCAGCTCTGGCCGCAGGATCCAGAAAGTTCCACAGCGCAACAGTCACTCGAACTTTGCACGTGGGTCCCGAGGCAAAGACGCAATCAAAACTGAGGTCGCTAAAGTGAGAGCTCGCTGAGGTACTTGCCAAAGAATCTGAAGACTCACTGTCCTCGTATTCCATGCAGCGCCCCGCCCCACTCGCTAGAAGCACCGGGTTAGCACCTGGGGCCTTGTAGAAAGATCCTAGACGTGTCTACCGGGTGGCCTGCCACACCTACCAGTGCTCACTCCCCTTGCAGCGAGAGCAAGCCCTCAAGCCACTATTCCGTCGGGGGAACCCTGGCAACGGTGTGCGGCACCACAGCAGAAGGATCTCAAGGCTCACACAAAATTTTTCCGACTTGATTCGGAAAGCTGCGAGTTGCTTTCATCATAACATGTTGAAATGATGTTTGTCGCAACAAGCATGTGAGAAATCGTTGGTTCAAAACACGTGTTGCAAAAGAAGAGGGAAACAAAAGGAAAAACTACCGTTTTTCCTTGCAAACAAAATTTGGAAATAAAACCCTGTCAATCACGATTGAAGGGTGGCTTAATTAAGGAATATACCTTAAATCATATTAGGGATCCTACTATAATTTAAGGTATATTCCTTAATTAAGGGATTTTGGAAGGTCTGGGTATTTTGCACCCGTTAGGCATTTGCGAACTGAGGCTGGACTGCGAGGTGGAGCCCTGGACATCATGTACCACGATCTGACGATGGATATTCTCTCGTCTGCGGGGTTTGCGCTACCTGCCTTTTACATGTATATACATATGCATTGAATACTCATGCCCCGCCATGACTGGTGACTACACGTATGCTTACCGTGGGCAACTGTTTCTCTGCATGGTCCGATGATGTGTCATGTTCCGTGGCTCAGGCTGGCTATGTATGGTATATGCAAAAGCACGCCCGGCAGCCTGCACGTCTATGCGCTCTGCTGCAGCAGCTTCACCGCCATGCCACTCGACTGCCTTAGATCAGGCGGGGGCTCCGAGTTGAAAGGCCAGCATTCCTTTCACGGTGGTGCTGGGGTTCAGGGTGTAGGTGTGACCCGAGTTAAACTTGACATCGATCCCGGGGGTGCTTGGACAAGCTCAGGCTTGCTTACGCTGACGAGGGTTTTCAAAGTTTTCAATGAGGCATTTAGTAGTTCGAAAACCGATAGAGATTGCCCCGATACCTTAGAAACCACGGAACATAGTTGTTCCTGCCTTCTAATGTGGCGGTCGGTTTAATAGTGGGGTACCCCCCCCCCGACCAAAAAAAAAAAATCTGTTTAATATGGAACCGGTAGCCGGTCAGGGGTCTGAGTGGGGCTCAGGGTCTGGGTGGCTTTGAGTATTTAAGTAAATGGGGTTGCGGGCCTAAGTAATTAGAAGGGTTTGGTGGGTTTTGTAACTAGGGTTTGGTGCTTAATTAATTAATTAATTAAGTACTCGGGCTTAAGAGGGCTCTGTAGGTTTCGGTAGCTTTGGTGTGGTTTGCTTTGGTTTTAATTAAATAGGAGGGTTTCTTGGGGGCTTCGGTTGATTTGGGGTTTGTGGGCCTTAATTAGAAGGGTTTGGAGGGTTTCTTGGTGGCTTCGGTTGATTTGGGGTTTGTGGGCCTTAATTAGAAGGGTTTGGAGGGTTTCTTGGGGGCTTCGGTTGATTTGGGGTTTGTGGGCCTTAATTAGAAGGGTTTGGGTGGGTTTAGTAGGTTTCGGTGCTTAGCTAAGTAATTAATTACTAATTAATGTATTAATTAGGGTGTAATTACTTAATTAATTAAGAGGATGTTTAGGAGGGTTCGGTAGGTTCCGGTCCTTAATTAAGCAAATACTCAACCAATTAATTAGCTAGTTCATTAAGTAATTAACTAATTACAGAGGTTTACGATAGTTGGGTTCTGTACCACCGAGCCTTAAGCCTAATTATTTTGTTAGTAAACTTAGAGAAAAAAGCGCCAGAATTAGGTTTATTCAGTGGATAGGCATTAAACTATTAATTAGTAGTAAATAAAGCAATTTCCTGAATCTTTAGGACAAACTAGCAGCCGAAATCCGAGAATCATAGCCTTAGGGGTCTAACTAAGAAAGCAATTAGAGAGCATTTCCTGAGTTTTCGCCGCCTCCAGCAGCATTCGGCCTCAGCGTTCAGTGCCTTCAGCCCTTGGCCTTCGACCTGTCCTGAGCGATTCTAAGCTGCAATCTTTACTGAGGCTGAGTAGATAAGTACCTAGGTAGAAAATTAGGTAAGCCTGAGCCCAGGATCGTCGCCTTTGGCCTGTCCTGAGCGACTCTAAGCTGCAATTCTTACTGAGGCTGAGTAGATAAGTACTTAGGTAAGAAATTAGGTAAGCCTGAGCCCAGGATGACCCGTGCCGTGAAGTTCGCCGTCATCCTGAGCTTCCTGGCCCTCAGTGCCGTGTCCCTCAGCAGCCACTCGCCTGCACTTAGAGCCTCGTCTGAGACCTTTCTGAAAGTTTTCTGAGTGCACTTGTGGCTTGAGCACAGCATGAGTTGCTTCCGAGATCGTTTGGCCTGAGGAGTTGTAGGATTAGGTAGCCTGAGCCATGCAGAACTGCACTCCCCAGCGGCTCTTCAGCATCCCTTTTATCACGCCTGAGCATCCTCTTCGCTTTGAAAGGGCCTCAGACACAGAGCCTGAGATCGGCTGCGAGTGTGGGGCTCGCCTTAAGCTAGGCCGGCTGCCTTGGCAGAGCCGCTGCCTGAGCTGTAAGAAGCCTTGGAAGGCCAGGCACCTCTGGAGGTACCACTCTGGGGTGCTCGGCTTAGTCGGGAAGCTCCCTTCATCGCTGAACCCGAGTTGCCTGAGCTTCCTGTCTCAGCCTCCTGGTCTGAGGATGTGCCTGCTCCTGTTCTTCAGACTCCTAAGAAGCGGCGATGCAGGAAGACGGTGTCGGACCCCACAGCAGCTTCCCCGCCTGAGGTGGTACGTTTTTATTCGCCTGAGGTGGTACCTGTTCCTCCGGCTGAGGTGGTACCTGTTCCTCCGACAGAGAAGGCACCTGTCCCTGAGAAGGAAGCTGAGGTCACGGACTTTGAGGAGGAGGATGAGTCCTCAGAGTACTTTGGCCTCGTGACTGAGGAGATGGTTAAGGCGGCCGACCTGAGTGACCCCATCCACTACGTCCACTGTGAAGATCCTGAGTGCGATTGTAAGTTAGCGGGGGTTACTGATTGGCACATCCTCAGCCCTCAGAGCCCTTATCAAGTGAGTGAGGATCCTGAGTGCCCGGAGCCCGAAGAGCCTAAGGCTTCTGGCTCCTTAGACGAGCATCCTGCCCTGAAGGCCTCAGAGGAAGACTCACAACTGCCCTCAGAGCTTGCGATTGAGGAGGAGCTCAGCCGGCCCATCAAGAGGCTCAAGCACCTCTGAGCCCTCAGGTCTGAGCACTGAGATTAGTCTTATCTAGTGTCCTCAGCAACAGCCTGAGGAATTTCGAGCACAGTTTTGAGGGGTGAGAAAGTGCAATTAGGTGTGTTTCTCTCAGTTCGAGTGCAGCCATGTCCTGCCTGAGTGCTCGCAAGCCTTGAGGATCGCTGTGTGTGTGTGTGCAGCGAACTAAGGCCCGAAGCCTCCTTAGACAGCACTTTGTTTCCTTAGGCAGGCATCATGAGCTACTCTCGGCCTCAGCAGCACGATTTGCGGGGTGCTCCTCAGGCTTCTCGGGCCAACCCTAGGGCGGCGAGGTTCCCGCCTGCTGGTCCTCAGACACAGCCTCAGGTGCTGCCGCCGGCAGCTTATCCTGAGCAGCCTCCTAAGCAATCGAGTTTTCCGCCTGCTTATCCTCGGCAAGAGAAGGCCCCTCAGTCCTCAGGATCGTGGACTCCTCCGCTGGGCAATGACCCCTGGCTTCGTCAGGCCCTTAGGGCTGAATACTTAATTACTATTAAATAATTATTGAATAAATAATTAATCAATTAATTAGGGAAAGAGTCTGAGTGCACTAATTAAAGTAGTTAATTAATTCTCGACACCCTAAGTAATTAATTACACTTTCATTGTGAGGGGGCCCCCAGCACCTGCACAGGCGCCTCAGCCTTCTCAGCCGCCTCAGCCTTATCGGCCTGAGTACGATCCCTGGCATGATGACGTGGCTGATACTGAGCCTCAGGCTAGCCTGCCTTAGGGCCTTAGGGTTTAGGGTCGCTCTTCGGTGGTAAATAATTAATTAATTCATTAACTTCGAGGTTTCAGGAGGATTTTATGGTTGAATTAATTAATTAGGTGATAATTAAGTAGTTGATTCAAAACTGAGGGTTTGAGCCTCCTAAACCCTTACAAACCCTAAGCCCTAAACCCTTCTCAAAGGGGGGTCCCTCCAGATTCGATCCTAAATCTAAGTTTTTTATACAAACTTAAGTACTGGAGAAGCCTCTTCTGAGCAATAGTCCGGGCCACCCTCCCTGAAGGCAATGCCTCAGCAACCTGTGCATCCTCAGCAGGCACCGTACCCTCAGGCCTTTTTGGGGTGGTTTAAGAGGGACAATTAGGGGTTTTCGGGTCGTCTAAGAGTACAAAACTTAAGGGTTTATGCCTCTGACCCTTACAAACCCTAAACCCTAAACCCTTCTCAAAGGGGGTCCCTCCAGATTCGATCCTAAATCTAAGTTTTTTATACAAACTTAAGTACTGGAGAGGCCTCTTCTGAGCAATAGTCCGGGCCACCCTCCCTGAAGGCAATGCCTCAGCAACCTGTGCATCATCCTCAGGCACAGCACCCTCAGGCCTTTTTGGGGTGGTTTAAGAGGGACAATCAAGGG